AATAAAGCTATTAATATGCATTCAAGCCAGATGTACTTTGAATAGTACTTGTTAAGATACAGAAATGCACAGTTGTGCTACTTGGGACTGCCTTTGGCGTGGTGAGGCTCCTTTTTAAAGATATTTTTTTGTTCTCAGTTTCATTGCAATGTAGGATGAAGATTACTGGATGCTAAAATATCATTAAGGTCACTTGTACAAATTCAGCTGAAGCTAAATTTGATAATGCTTTTTACCAATTTTACTCACAGGGCCGCAGAGCTTTGTTTTCAATACATTAGAAGAAAATTAATTCTGAACTCAAAAGGGAAGTACTGTGTTGTGAAAATAACTCATGTTAGAATGAAATATGGGTATGTGTGGGGCATAAATAATTTGAATAATAGAGTACAGCATCTCTCTCCATAATTCCCACACTTCTGTTATGGGTTATTTTGTTATGGGTTAATGCAAGCCCTTTTCTCCCCATAGTTGTGACAGTGTCTCGTAGGGGCAATGCACAGTATATCTGGGTCAACTGTGTGATCGTCAACAAACTCAGCTTCTGTCTCTTACTTAGAGATTATAAAAGTATCAAAAATATGCCAGTACTCTGTTACTCTCAAGGGGTTAATGTTATTAAATTAGATTATTTCACATCAGAATTCAATAGAATTCAATCCCACATTCACTTAAGTGGTATGAATGTAGATCCACTTCCAAACATAGCTAAGATTTGTTTAGTACACAATATACCATAGTTTGTCTGACCAGCTGAAGTCTAGACAAAACTACCAGGCTTTGACTCATCTTCACAGTGACCACTATTACAGATTGGTACGCCTTTAGTAGCTGTTTGGCATAAATTTGACACAGATGTGAAACACCTGGTTTTACCATGTTGTTGAGTGCAGTAAATCATGTAACTGGCTTCTTTGAGCCCCTTTATCTTTTTTACATTACTGTATGAAGGATAACAAGGTCACTTAGTTTCCAAACTGAATGCATTTGTATCAGTTTATCTTACTTAGTTCGCTCTTAGAATCTTAGTGTTGTCGGGAAAAAAAAAAGCAGTGTAGCCAGGTAAAACCATTCTGGCATACATTCATATATCTCAGAAGGAACTGACGTAGAGCAAGTTGTTCAAATACTGTTGTATCTCTCACTGAATGCAAAATGAGTGTTTAGTTCTATTCCTGCCTGGCTGACCTTGCTGTCAGGAATGAATGGATGTATAGGAGGCACAACCAGAAAATTCAGTCAAAGCATTCACAAGTCTTGGTGTTTGTTGTTGTTTCTTCATTTTCTTCTTAAGCACTTCTTTCTTACCATTGCCCCTTCAGAAAAGCACGTTCCTTTAGTATCTTTCTGATCTGCAGTCTTCATATTCCTCTTGCACAACATTTTTGTTTGTTTGCGTCATTGACTTTGGAAGACCTGCAGAGCCTCTGCCACAAAGTCCTTTTGAATGTACGCATTACTTACTGCTATAAGGGCCTGAGAGTATAGTATAGTCAAAGAAAATAAGAGAACAAAAATATTTTAAATCAGGGATGTTTACATCATCTAAACATCATTGATGTTTACTAAGAATCGTAACTCTTTAGACAATAAAATAAGAATCATGTATCTCGGGAGAGGATGGCAGTTGTGCTTCTAATGTGATAAGACTTTGAAGGAAAACCTGCACAAAGGGAATGGAAAAGTGCTTTCATGCTCTGATTATGAATCATCAATATGTGCAAACAAGTTTAGATAACATACAATTGAAACATGTGTGCCATGAGTATTTTGGAAATAGTGGTTATTTTGGAAATCAAAAGGAAGTTTCAGAAGGAAAAATTCACAGTTTTCCCAGTTATTCTACTCTGACCTGTGCCTCTTAGCTGGAGCTCAAGGCTACTTAACTGAATTTGTCTGTTGTTTCACAAAGCTGTGATATGCACACCAGGCAGTGTGGAATCTGCACAGTGATGCAGTAATGAATAGTGCCTTTCAGTGCATGTATAGCTAAGAAGAGCACAGATTTCCTCAAGAAGAGATTCTTAGTCAAAACTCTCATTGAAAGAAACAATGGAAGTCTTGCGATAGATTCAAATGGAAAATATTCAGGAGAGAACAGGTCAACTTTTGAGCAAGGAAATTATGTATTTATATATTTGAAAAATATCCATCATAACAGTAAGAGAAAACTCTTTTTAGAAAGTCCAATCAGGCAACATGGAAAAATTACAGTGGATTTTATGTTTGTTTGAGCCATTTCTCTACTTTTAGTACTTGTTTTTCTTGTCTTCTTTCTCAAGCAAGACAAACTAGATTTTAGCTGCTGACTATCCTTCAGTTTCTCAGGTTTATAATCCCTCCAGTTTTGGATCCTACCCCTTAAGTCTACCTTTCTAATGTCATGAATTCCTCCAGTTCTCAGAGGAGTGACTTATCTATGGCTCTTCCATCTCTTTATATTTGTCACACTAAAGAATGTATCATTTTCCAGAAGTTTTTCTCTTCAGTTTTTTCTTCATGCTCTCTCTGATTTCATGTCAAGGCTCAGTGACTTATTGTTTATTTATTTCTAAAATATATCTTCAATTCTAGTATAGATATTTGCTAGTCTAACTTTTAGTTTATAGAAGCACTTGCAGAGGAGAGAGAAGTTGTTTGTTGTAAAATTGCCTTAAAACACATGGAATGGGAAGGAGAAAAGCCTGATAAGTCACTAAGGGAATTATCTAAGAGCTCAAAACAAAAACAGGAAAGCACATTCAGAAAATTTTCTTCAAAGAATTCTACAGTGTGCTAATGTAATGCCATTTCTAAGTATATCGTAAATTTAAAAAATAATTACCCCAGCAAACCAGTGCTAATAAAAATTGGTTGTTAAAGTATTAAAAGTTAGCAGAATTCTACCTTTTGTCTGCACAGATGAGACTTAAAAAATAAGTAAATTAATGAAATTACTGCAATGCACCTACATGACATTTACACATCTGCTGGTGGTGTTCCATTCTAGTGTCATTGAATTTACAATTATTTTATTCAGCAGGCTATTAACTATATATAAAAAAGGTAGTGAAGAGGTCACATTCTTAAACTATGATAGATTGTACCGCTTATTTCTTTTTTTCTCTCTCAAGAAATTTTTTTCCAAGTTTTAACAGAAATGAAATGTTGGATGTACTGTCCTTTTAAGAACAGAAAGCCAATAATCATTATAAAATAAAATATTGTCTATTAACCATATGCCATTTCAAATTTACAAATACCTGCTTTAATCAGATCAACACTGTTGTAAAATTGGTTTATATTAGAAACTTGTCTATTGCGTGTGTACTAGAAATACTTACGGTGAACAACTTACAGGTGAGAAAGACACATGAGCAGTAAAGTTCTATTGTCTACAGAACTTTTAAGATTTAAACAATGCTTGTATTTCAAAATGTTTAGTGAAATTTTTCAATGGAAGAACTTGACAAAAATAGAATATGACATTTGCATCACTGGTTATGGTTATGTGTGTTTCACAGAGCTTCCTTTTGCAGAATAAAGAACCTTCTATAAAAAACCCAGAAGCATGAACATGTAAAATTTTTGCATGATTTTATTGTTTCGCATTACAGAATAATATTTGGTTTTGATTCATGAGGCTGACATTACCATTTTGGTTTTATGAGTTTATTTTAAACTAAGTTCAGTGATTTTTTGACCTGTGTTTCTGTTAGTTTTTAAATCTACCAGTTATAAAAAAAGAACGGTTTATTTTGGAGGAAATCTCTTAAACTTAAAAAGTATATAACCCTAAGGGTAATGTGCTGTTGTGGTTAAGTGTCTCTCTTCCTATACAAATGTTAAATGAATGTAATTTATCAGATTAGATCTTGATTTTACACTCATGACTAATGGTTTACAGAGGATGTATTGTACATACCTCTTTGAATTGATATAAATTCTATAAATGGAAAGAAAATTATGTTTTGAATAGCTGCCAAGACAGAGTTGATAGAGAACATGTTTTCAGTTCAAAAACGTGTATGGAATTCATGTCAGCGTGGAGTTGAGTCTGCAAGACAGTGAATTCAAGGATTAAACTGCACTACAGTGAAACCCCTGATAATGCCGGTGAACTTTTGAGAAGGCAGTAAATCATAGTTATTGGGACACAAATTCGTCGGAGAATTAAATGTACTATGGTAGATGAGAAGAAAGTTAATTTGTAGTGGTTAGAGACATTAATTTTCCATCTCAGTCATTAAGTTTCATTTTAAAAAAATGAAGTGGCATTAAATTATAGAAGATTCATAACTGAAAGGCAGTTTACACATGAATCATTGATTCACTACATGACTCAGAATTCGTAACGGGAAGGAGTATTTTTACCTTCAGTCACCCACTTAAATCCATCCCCAGCCTAAAGTGACTCAACCCTGACCATCTGACAGCTGTTGGGTGTTCAGCTGTGCCACAAATCAATGGGGAAAGTGCTGTCAGCAGGCAGGTCTAGAAAACCCACCTTGGTAGACTTTGGTGGTCATGTCAGGGAAGGTAAGGGTTGTGTGAGTGTGTCATTTGAATGAATCCCAGAGAAGAGCACGTCATTTCTTTAGTCCCTTTAATTCATGAAAGGAAGATCAATCTACCCATCAATAATGAACATGAACTGCAACTGTGCATGAAATGTGTAAATGGATGTACGGTGCTATGGATATACAATACTCTGAGAAGTGTTCAAACTGCAGGTGATTCTGTCTACAGGGGGATTTCGAATTATGTTGGGCAGTTATCAGGAAGTGCTTTTCTAGTGTGGATATGATCTAAATGCACTGAGTGGTTCTGTCTTAGGTTGGGTGTGGGTCTAATGTGCCACTTGGGAGCCCTGTTTTTCTCTGCTGTATTCTGTTGTCCTCTTCAGGTGGAATGTTGCTGGTCCTATAGCTCTTCAACACTCCTAGTATCATATTATTAGGTTGTTAGAGTTCTTTCTTTGCTATAAGAGAGATTTACAGCTCTGTTTATCTATTTTACAGATAACCATTGAGAGAGAAAGTGGTTTGGATGTCAGTTCCCCTAAACATGGAAAAGTGGATCCAGACAACATGCCACATGTTGGTGGAAATATGTGGGCTGGTGGAACAGGTTTTTCACTGTTGTTTTTTTTAATGCATTATTGCCAGATATCTAAGGGAGATGCTGTGTGAGTCAAAAATGGTTTTATAAAGCCATCCTCTGCCTAGAGCTATTTTATCCAATACCGGGTTGCTTTATTGCCAGTGAAAATAAGTACTTGCAGTGTCTAACTTAAACTGTATATAGCAGATCTCTTCTTCAATTAGATTTTGTTTCTTTTCATTGGTCATACAGAGAACTAAAAAACTTGCAGCCACAGAAAATAGACTGAGCCATTTGCCATCCTTTTAGATGTCCCTGTAGCTGCAGCAATTTAGGTAGTGTAGGCAAGAAGTACACAGAAAGTGCATCCTAATTCTAAAAGGGCATAATAGTGATCACTAGATAAAGTGGATTTGAAACAGTTTAAACCAACAAATTCTAGGGATGAATAGCTTTAAGGACCAGGAGCTTTGAGGAGATGTACAAGATTTATATGTTCTATGGTCCCCTTTATACAAGGTAGAAACCGTTATGAATCTGGTCACAAGGGACTATAAACATGAGTATTCCATGGGAGTTCTTCCTTGCCATGATAGCTGTTTGGCTTTGAAAATCTTTGGCAAGAAATACTTCTACTATGGATTGTTGGCAGCATTTTTGGAACATCTGTAGATATGGCAATGGAAGCTTTAAAGAAAATGTGGGTTTATTTATTATCAAATGCATATTCTTAATGATTTTTTTATCTCAACCATGTTAGGTGGGAGAGACACTGCTGGGTTAGGTGGCAAAGGTGGGCCATATCGACTGGATGCAGGCCACAGGGTTTATCAAGTATCTCAGGCTGAAAAAGATGCTGTTCCTGAAGAGGTTAAGAGGGCTGCTCGAGAGATGGGTGAAAAGGCCTTTAAACAGAGGTAATGTGAAAATCTTTATTTTCCTTTCCATTTCCCAGAAGAATTTGAAAAAGATGGCTAAAAAGAATTTTCTGTCTTAACTGCATTTATCAGCTACATTACCCTGTTCATTCTCATTTAACAGATCTTACCAGCACAGGTTTAGCTGTTCTGGACAAGATGTATAGAATGTTTTATTGAATTAAGCTACACTGTTAAAATGACTGTGTGGTTTGGTAGAGTAAAACATAACTAGGTGGATAAGGAGAGTGATGTAAATATTTATCTTTTTAAAAAGGGATAAACCATATGAAAATTTCTGTGAATTAAGATGAATCCAGATTTTATGTTGTTAGGAGTTTATCACCTAAGAAATGTCTGTCAAAATGGACCATTGCAAGCAAATTTCTTCTGTTTGAAAGGTCTCTAGCCAAAAGTTGAGATGATTTGAACTATTAAGCCTCAGCAGGCGCTTTTACATGAACAACAGGTCTTCCCAGCATGAGTGTAATGTGTGATTACTAATCAACTATTTCCCAACCTGAGCACTGAGATTCAGATTTCTTCCACCAACTGAACTGTCTAATCAACCTCTGGTACTTTTGCATTGAAAAAAGCATCCCCATTCTTCCAAATTGCTTCTCAGCTGCTTCATAATAGAAACAATTGATATGTATGGCCTTAGATAATGTACATCTCTTTTTGCATATGTCCATATGCACATGTGACATCCTTTCATGAATTTCTACCTGCCTCTGTGGTCATTTAGCAAATTTGTGTTAGAGGAAATTCCTGGATACCGCTACATGCTGTGGGAACAGTGCAGCTGTGTCCTGTAAAATCTGATTATCTGTACATGAGGTAACAATTTCTGTCCTGCAAAAACCAAGTGAGCTGGCATGTGCCAGCTGTAAATGCAGCCTATTACGAAACCACATTTGACTTGAATTATTGTTCTGTACCACCTGGATAGTTGTGGGAACTAACAGGTAAAAGTTAAGAACAGGGAGGAGGAGGTTGGAGTCCTCAGGCTGACGAAAAAACGTAAGGGAAACTGCAGATTTCACTGTTTTGTTTATACAGGATTATCTGGAAGGGAGAATTTTCATATGAAAATTATTGATTATTTTCCTGGCTACGTAATATTTCTTGTCATAAACATTTTAAATTGCCGTATTTGACTAGAATGAAATTAGCAGCTACTCTTGAATAGAGGCAGTATTTTTAATGGTATTTTTCTGAACTAGCTTTTAGTGGGAATTGATGTAGAGTTTAACAAAGTAAAACTGTGTGTGAGGTTCTTTTTGTTTGAAAAAAATATTTTCTTCATAGATTTGAAGACGCTGAACTCGGATGGCAGGATCCATGAAATTAAGTGCATAGGCCTGAAAGTTCCCTTTTCCTGCCTCTAATGAATGTTGGCTATAATGACTGTACAAAATTTTAAATATAAAAAGACATAATCACTAAAGACAACAAAGATTTGATATTTGATTTTAATATTGTCATTGAAGGACTAGTCTAAACAGTAGTTTTCACATATACTTTATGTTCCAGGCAAGTAACTTGTGATGGTATTAAAAAACTTGTAATTAGAAATATAGTTAACCTATACATACTTTGCTATTCATTTATAGTTAATTTAAAAATCAATATTTTCAAAACACCATGCGTGAAATTATGCTGTTATGAAGTGCTTGTTTGAAATGAGCTGGGCACAGATAGGCCAATATGTTTTTACTCAGGACTGATACCAGCCACATGCTGGATGGTAGAGTAGCCAGATACACAACTCCTGCTTTGCTACATGTTGTTGGGTCATGGACAATATGGAACAGCACACGGTCCTGGCATATCCACCTCTCTCCTTGCTCCTTCTTCGCAGTTGGACCTCTGTAATAACATTCCAATTGTGAATTTCACCACTTTAGCAGGATGTGCTTAGCTACAATGCTAAGAATGATACAGAACTTGAAATGAGCAAACTTATAGAAAAAGCATATATCTAGTTTCATGGTGCAGGTGTTGTGCTCTCTAGACAGGAAAGTGTTCAGTGACATGACTCATTTTCTGTATGGGAGAGTACATTTTTGTTAATGTTCATTTAAAACTTCTTTGTTTCAAGGTTTCTTCATTTTATGAAGCACAAAGATAACTATTTGAGACAGTTACTATTTGTAGGTTTTCAGGGACAGATTTTATAGTGTGTCTTTACTTAACTTTTGTGCTAAAGCAGGAATCAGGATATGTTTAAAATGCTCCGACAGTGAAGTAATGAATAGACACTCATGATCCTTTTATGTACACATAGCAACACCTGAGCCAATAAAACATTTTGAATTTGATCACTTTTCAGGACATCTGCTTTACTTCTCAAACTTTAAAGCAGATTAGGAGAAAGTAGAAGGATTAGTAACTTTAATAAGTTTTGATGTGATTCAATCCCTGTAGACATTGGTGAACACCTGCCTTGTCAAAAAATCACAAAAGCAGCTGCCACTTCTTTAATTTGTCTCTTCTGTGTGCTTGTTGCCATCTGAATTTCCCTGTTATCAAGTACATAAACTTTCAGTTTACTTAAATAAATGTAAGATATGCTTGTTTTCTAAGTTTTCTTAGTTCCTTGTTCTTTGCTTTAGATTGAAAGAGATTCAGATGAGTGAATATGATGCATCAACTTACGAAAGGTTCTCCGGAGCAGTTCGACGCCAAGTTCAGTCACTCCGCATCATCTTAGACAATCTGCAGGTAATCTTAGATTCCCTAATTAAGGAACACAGTGAGGTCATTACATTAGGCCCCAAATACTATCCTGCTACTATTCTGTTACTGTGTGGTGATCATACCTTTGAGGCTAAAAGCAGATTCAGGTTGTAATCATGGTTGGGAAAAACAGTTTCATATTACTAATTTAAAAGAAGCTTATAAGTGGGTCCCAGTGCTCATCTCTACAAGTTACAGTATTCCCATACCACAGAGATTACTTATTCAGGAGCACAATTTTGTGAAAGAAAATACTACTATACAGTATGAAAAGAATTTGTGAAGGTATGTAGAGCACAGTCTTTGTCTTTACCTCTTGTCCAAAAGACTTTTTTTTAGCTGAGAAGCACAAATGCTAAAAGAGACACTCCACTCCAGTGCAAATTGAAAGAAACACTCCACTACAGTGTAAATTAAAAGAGACACCTTCTCCAGGTCAGTGCTTTACTGCATATGCGGCTGAAAACATGGATTTTTCTCAGGTTTGTTTTTGACTCTTGCTAATGAAGATAGGTATAGCCCAAATCTCCTAAGATCAAAACCACCAGTTTACCTTTCTTCTGATAATTGATGTGGTGTTTTTTCTGGGGTTTTTTGATACTAGTGTTCATATACAGGGTAAATAAAATTGAAAGTGCATTGTTTCTAGGAGGAATCTGCAATCTTCAGTGAAAATTAAAGGAAAATTAATTTACTCCTTATAAGATATATTTGATTATAAGTATTTCTACTGAAGACTACTAACCATTAGTGTATATATACCTTAGTTTATTAGTTAGTCACTGTACTGTGTCTTCAGCAATAAAACTGACATATAGAAAGAAATTACTTTGTACGATAAACAGATTCCAAATGGGTCAAGAAACTCAATCCCCTGGTATTACAAGTAAGAAGGGTAACATTTCTTCGTCTTACTTATATCTTTAGGCCTTTGTAGCTACAACAACATTACTACCATCGCATATATACACAGAGAACCAGTTTTATTAGCCTGTTTTATTATGAATGTACCAATTCAGAGAACTCCTCACATAATGAACATTTAAGATGGACGTGAGTAGATGATGCATGCTCTTAATATGTGTCTCAGTACAGGACATAGACAGGTTTCTATTGGAAAAATTTGGATGTAAGTCTCAGGATTTTTCTACGTCATTTATATCTAGGTTTTTTTTTTACCATATTTCTAGCACACATACTATTGGAAACATACTGTGAGTGCGAAATGAATAAGTGAATCTTCAGTTTGAAGTCTTTTTTTAATCTGCCTTATTTATCCCTTGGAGCCAAAAGTGTTACATTCAGGGATCATGTTAATCATAATCAAAATATAACATACTTTAATATAAGGAGACCTATTCTCTTGCTTTGTTAGAAAGGTCATTTTAATATCAAGGCAAAATCTTATAAGCCTCAGTATTTTATGAGACTTCAGTAACTTCCTGCCAAAGTCTGTAATAGCTAACCACAGAATTAGTAAACGGAATCTGTGATGAAAGAAACAAATCACTGAATTTGGAAAAGCTAGATCACAGAATAAGAGCAATAGTGAAAGCAGATTTTTAACTTTTTAAATTTTTATACAGATGTTGGTAAGGATTTTATTAGAAGATGCAGTAGGAAAATTAAGATAAATGATAACAGGAGTTACTTAGTTGCAAAGTGCCTTCTGTTAGTAGGAAAGCTGAGTCCAAGCAAATTTCATGTGATCTTTTTGAGAGGGAAAAAATTTATTTGGATTCTTCAGCATTGTAATTCATTCAATCCTGATGAAGAACTGTGCCTCTTTTTTTCTGGCTAGCCCTATGTACACCACAGGTTCTCAACTAGAATGGTGTTCTTTCTGTTACCAGTCAGACATTCCTCATATCTCAAATAAGAAGCCAATGGCACAGTCCATTCCAGTAAACTTTGCAGCTCAGATGTCTCTGTGCTTTTAACTTTATGAAAATCCCAAATTACCTTCTCAGTAGAGAACACACTTGGCTTTTTAAAAATTTTTGAGTTTACTTTGTTTCAAACTCAGTCTGTTTTTACATAATAGAAATATGGTGCCCATGTTTATTTAACCTGGATTTTCTTTTCAACATATGCCTTTTTATTGTTAGTTTTGTGGGTTTGTTTAAAATATGTTCCTTTGGTTAAATTTTACCTCCCAGAATCGAGAGTCTGGGATTCAGGTCCAGATAGCTCACCAAAAGTTAGTAGTAGCAGAAGAGATGTTTGGAATAGACTGATCCTTGAAAGTGATACATAAACATAGTCTGAGAATGTAATTTCATTGTTCATTTTATTTTTTATAACTCACTGATCTCTATCAGATCTTTGAACAACATTAACAAAACTTTACGGGTTTTTGTTTATCTTCTGTAGAAGTAGCAAAGCCAGAAGTCCAGGAAATCTGGTCACTGATGAGCCTTCCTCTCTCTCCTAAAGCTTGTCTGTCTGAGCTACAGATTCAAAAGGTTATGGTCAGTCAGTAACTCAGAAAGGCCTTCTTAAATGTTAGGTGACTTGCTTTCCAGAAAGTACTTCTCTCTTAATTGATTATTACAGAAGGAATCAGGGGCAACTGTCCCTTTAGCTTCTGAGCTTCATGTAGGTCCCCACACTGGAACAGAGCCTGCTGGGCTCTGTCTGATTTAGACCATGTGGGAACTATCTGGTCATAGCAGCAAGAATAAAATAGTGGCAGTCCTAGAATAAACATGGCTCAGAGAACTGAAAATGTGAAAAACCCTGTGTCCTGTCAGTAGCAGTTTTGTGATTTCAACAGCTAAGGGAACATTTGTGTCACGTCCTCTCAGAAACAAATGCAGACCACAACTGGCAGTGTTTCATACCATCCCATATCATTACGAGTTACATATTTAGATGTGATCACTTCACATGCACATCTTCTTCTGTGACATTTACAGACATCACAGTTGTAATTTGCAGGGTTTTTTGTAAATATGCCTGTGAAAAGAATATGCTTCCAGTGAAAAGAATTACTGCAGTGGTGCATTGTGATCGGCCACTCCCATGCTGATAAGATATGGTGTCTAGCACATTTTTCTAATTTCAAAAGCAACACAATGAATATATTTTTTCGTCTATATGGTTGCAGCGTATTGAAATAGTAATGTGTTGTATGCCCTTTCTTGTCAAATATCAAAGGAAGATATATATGTATTAGTTCTAGTTTTCTCTTAAAATTGTAGGTGCTTTTAAATTTATATTGGTTTTAAACATGTGAAAATTACATATTAAAAATCCTTTGGAGCTTCTTTGTTATATGCAATATTTGCACATTTTATAACACACATGCTTAAGAGAATTTTTTTTCAGCTTTTATAAGAGGAAATAAACTCTTAGGAATTCTAAGAATTCCTAAGAGAAATTCTGCATGGAAGAGGCAGGTGCTAAGTAGCCTAAATAATTTTAGCATTATTTTGGAAAGAGGTTAGATCAGATTTTGTCAGCATTCTTTCCTATTTTAGGAGAGAATGTCAACTCTGTGTTCCTCCAATAAAATTTCAGCTCAAATACTGGCTTTTGTTGCATAAGCTTCAAAAGGTATTAAACTGTTTTTAACTTTCTCCATAGTAAAAAGCCTTCTCACACTGCTGTTCCTTGAACATCAAATAGCCACAAAGGTAAAGCATTGGCAGTGAAAAGAATAGTGAAACTAGCTGAGAATTTATTTGCTCAATGATGCTGAATCTTTATAATCTTCTATTGTTTGTTCCTCCTGCCTACTGAAAGGAGGCTAATAACAAAAATTTGACAAAACACCAGTGCTAAGGAAATGTTAAGGATCTACCTCTGTTCCAGTACTTAGAGTGGTTGAGATGACTAAGAACAAAGTCATCTCAGCTGCATCACCCTGGAAGGTGCATGATTCATTTTAAAAAGGCTTTGCTTACTCAGCAGCATGTTGTCTCCAGGAGCACTTTTTTAGTGGTTAGCTGGAGTGTTGAAATTTGCCACTGGCTTTTTCACAGCAGGAAACCTCCCTACAGTGCAACATTTTGGTGGGAGATGTAGAAGTCACCGGGAGTTTGCGAGTGTCTCTTTGTGATATTACACAACTCTGAAGGCAACAAAGGAATCAATCCTATGGAAGAAGGAACTTCAACTTTCATCCCGAGCATATTTAATGATAGTGGAAACTACCAGTTGGTACCAACAAACTCATGGATGCCCTATGGCCAAAGCTGGTTAAAGTGAGGTTGACTGTAGCACCATGGAAGTGTATCAGAGAACACAACTGACTGAATTCATAACCTAAGAAATGCTTTCCACTTTCCCCTTCAGTGATTTCCATGTATCAGCATTGTTTTTGCCTCCCATCAGGAAGCATTTGTAAAACTTTCGACACTACCTAATTAAAAAAACTGTATTTTTCATAACTATGTAAATTCTCTACTCTAAAATTAATCAATCAAAACATTTTTCTGTGGTTTTGTAGTCTTTCTGCCCACTTATTTTCACAGGCAAGTAGTCAATTACTCTTGAGTAATTACAGACAATAGGCTGTAGTCCAGAACACCTTCATCTTACACACCAAAACAAAAACCTTATAAATTTTAACCCAAAATCAAAGATTCTCTGAGCCTTAAGAAGGCATTATCTGCCTGCTCAGAGCATACATAACTCAGATTTATCCTTTCAAATCCCAGGCCTGCAGTTCACTGAGGATTTGTCATATATGACTAACTGTTCAACAGAGAGCAATTGCTTTTCATTCCTGAAAACAATGTTTAAGGCAGTTTGTGTCCTGCTGGATACTTGATTTTCCTCCAATTGGTAACCAACAATTTGCTGAGAGGGCAAAAGCATTATATGTGTGTAAATTCAAAATTGTCTTTCCTTGCTGAATCAGCAAGGATGTGCATCCTTACTAGGGTGAACAATTTCAACGTGTAGATCTAAACAGAAATTAAATAAATGATGAAACCTGTATATACAGACTTTACTGTCTTTAGATGGAAATTACATATTATGAACCATGATGAAGCTATCCTTTGAAAACATTCTTAAATATGTTCCTTATTACATTGAGTCTTCAATATGCATTGCATGCTTTGTGGATAGGAGTACCCTGAATATTTGAGTTCCTGGATTGTAGTGCAAGTTCATCAAGTCAGGCTGTAGATAACTAGTGTCCCTTTAACTAAAACAAAAGAAGTATTTAATGGACTGTCTTTTGAGTACCAGGATTTTAAAAGTAGGGTTTTTTAAATATATAACTGGTTCATTATTAATACTGTTTTAAAAGAAAGCATTTACCATTGCCTAAGGTGAATACTGCTTAGTTTTATATTTAAGTCACCCAATGACTTTTTCTTGTGCTGCTTGGATTGAGAGTACATAACAAATGGTCAGTTATGTGTGTCCCTCTGGTTGTATGTATTTCTGAACAGACTTGCTACACAGATTTTCAGCATATTTGCAAGAAGAAAGGTTAATATTTCTGCAGTCCACAGTTAAACTCCCGTATATGAAACAACTTAAAAAAGACAAAGTTACAGAGGGAACGTGTTCTTTGTCAGTGTTAATTTTTCCTTCAGAGAAGAAGAACAGGACAGCTATGAACATGTGTTTGGATTTCTTTGACTTATGCCAAAAGTATCACATTGTTACAAAGAAAATTAATGCATGTGTGATCTGCCGTAGGTCTTAAATTGTCTAACATACACTCACATCACTGAGTGACGTAAGACTTCTTTTCTGTTGTAGGCCAAGGGTAAGGAAAGACAGTGGCTGAGACACCAAGCTGTTGGAGAGCTAGATGATGCTAAAATCATTGATGGGCTGACAGGAGAAAAAGCCATATATAAACGACGGGGAGAACTTGAGCCACAAGTAAGTATCCAACAAGAAACAGGGAAAGGTGGAGAAGAGCTTAACCAGTTTGCTGGTTTCATAGTGGCTATACAGTGTCTGTGTTTGAGTTTGAGTGAGTTATAGGGATGAGAAACTCAGAAGAATCATCTCTGACTTGGGATGTCCCTGATACAGAGGCAACCACAGGATGGAAAATTTGCTTTACCTCTTCTTATAGTCTTACATGCATATTTCCTGTTGGCCACCCTCAGAGAAAGAACACTGATCTAGACAGTGCTTAGTTTTGATCCAGTGAAATGGTTTTTATGTTCTTATTTTGTATTTTAATGATCGTAAAGCAATTAGCAGAAAACATTTATTTTGTTAGTTTTTACCAAAAAAAAGGAAGATATTTTCTCACTAATTTAATTTTTGTTAACAAATATGCTGATACTCTAGAAATTAAAAAAAAAAGAGTGGTTTGCAAATGTCTTTTCCTTATTCCATGGTATGCAAATAATTTCAACTTCTGCAGATATTTAGATTTGCAATAATAAAAATTATGATAGGAAAAAAAAATATGAGGAAAAACCGTTATGACATGACAAAGTTGATTCTCCAATGGATTAATTCAGCCATTCCTTAGAAGGCATTATGATTAAACCTATGTGAGTCAGGAACAGAGAAACCACTTGAATCAGACCAACAAAACCTGGCTAAAACTTGTGGGGCTAGTACATAATATTTAACACTAATACTTAATGACAGATTGCAGTTTTTAACCACACAAAGAATTTTTTTTAAATAGCTGAGTACAGCATCTTTTTGCATATCAGCTACCCGCATTTGATGAATCCCTGGTATTATTTTTTATGCTGTTTGATCCTGATGTCTATAGCTTTGAACAGTTTATGGGACTTGGCACTGCCTGTGTGAAAGATCAATAAGGGAAAAGTGATTGAAGCCTCAGTTCTCATTTGTTTCAAAATGTGTTTAGTCTGTGTATCAGTTTTAAGGCTTTGTAAAAATAATTCAGTAAGGAAAAAAAAACAGATGCCTTAAGTTTGTGCATAAAAACCAAAATAAATGTTTGATTTAATGGTTTCTCTTTCCTTATGTTTTTTGAGGGCAGGGATGCCACAGCCTATAAAAAGAATAATTAAAAGAATAAAGCACACAAATGCTTTACAGATAAAAGAAAAATTTTAGTTATTTGTTTATAATGTGACTGGGTGTTTTGCTAGATCATCTTCAATAGCCTCATACTTGAATCCAGACACATCTCATTGCATGCTAAATAAAACACCTATCTTAAATGTACTGTACCAAAAATCGTTAAAACAGATGGGATTTGTTTTCAGGAAAAAATAATGGTTTCACTGTTAGAATAAAGAAGAAACTAGTAGTTAATCAGAACAAGATTTCAAACATTTTTGGAATGTTATTAACCTCAGCAGACAAGTTTTTACAGTCTTATACGAATCCCTGTTAGTACTGTAAGCCAAGGAAAAGCATTTCCATTATGGACCTTGGCAGAAAGAGCAAATTTGAGAGTCTCTTATGCTGAAATAAAATGTGAAGAATCAAAGCTGAAATAGAAAAAGTATTTTCCTGACAAATGTGTGGAATTTTTTGAGGTATTTTGTTTCCAGTCATTGAAGGTGGAGGGAAAGAATGAGCTAAGGTATCTGTCAAGGAACTGGTTTGAAATAAAAACAAAGTTAAAATCTTTTTGTTCTTTAAAAAAAAAAAAAAAGAGTGTTTGCTGAATACAATTTTCTAGCTTCACAAAGCGCATTGGGTTCACTTTCTAAAATGTTTTGTTATTACTGATGTTTAGCTTTCCCATTAATACTGGAGTTCATTCTGTTGTGTTTCCCTGTCAGCCTGGGAGCCCTCAGCAAAAACCCAAACGCCTGCGCCTGGTGGTGGATGTTTCTGGCAGCATGTACCGCTTCAATGGGGTGGATGGACGGCTGGAACGCTCCATGGAGGCTGTCTGCATGGTCATGGAAGCTTTTGAGAATTATGAGCACAAATTCAAGGTAATTGCAGCTGGGCTAGGAGCTCTGTGGTTATTGCACAGGCTGTGTGGAGCAGTGGAAAAAATGTTTCAGCAGTCAGTCTAGCCAAAGAGCATTATTCATTCCCACAAGGAAATAAAGACAATAATCTATTTCTAGCAACCTGAAAAATAATACTAGTGAAAGGATAAGAAACATTACACGTTTCAGTAAGGGAGGATTCAATCTAAGACTTTTAAGATTTCAATTTAGTGAGATTTGCTCCTTTTTTCTGTTTTTGTTTCTTTGAGCAGAAATGCTTAAGCCTACAGAACACAAGTGAATATAAGCTTCAGGACATGCAAAGATGCTCTGCCCTTCTATCTGCCCAGAGTGCACACAGCAGTGCTTTATCATGGGAAAAGACCAAACTTCTTTGTCCTTATTTGTGTTCTCTTTCAGTTATCTGAAAGCAAGAAAATAATTTCTTGTACTGAAAGATATTAGTTCCAAATGTTATTTAATGGTAGCCTGCAAAGGAAATGTAAATAAATTTAATACCCTTTTTGTATCAATAAGCCTAAACAAGGTTAAGAGCATGTTTCTTTAACCATAAAGAAAACAGTAATGGCCAGTCTCAAGTTAGTTCTAGACAGATTCAGTGTTTAATGGAAGAACAGAGATGCCCAATACCTTTACTGAAGAGCATCTCAAACATAAGAATTATAATGCATCTAAAGCAAATGTAAAATCTCCTGAACAAAATTAATAGAATCATAGTCCAGATCAATTCAGTGAGGTCCACTTCACATTGTTCCAACAACAACATAATCCTTCAGGTTTCTGCTCTTCCATGGAATCTCATATACAAAATCAGACCATATGGAGGCATATGTTTCTAGAATGTCTTCTTAAGTACAATCACTCAGACTTTTACTTTTCAGCAGAAAAGGCTATAAAAGGAGACAGGCATTGTTTTTAGGCTACTTTCCTAAGGAAATGAGGCACATGCTCCCATCTTCTCTGGCAGTGATGCTTTCTCACCCTTAAACTTGCTTAAACTGAGCACGTTGCAAAATTGCAAACAAATTGAAACTGTAGTTTTGTTCCTAGAGTCACTGCATTCCTGCAAATGTAATGAAAATAGGCTAGGTAGAAAGTGATCCTCTTGGAGGAAAATGCTGTAATTGTTTTAAAATATCACTGACTCAATTCTGTAAAACAGTTGACAATCTGCAAGATGCTGCTAATTTTTCTCAGTACAAAGCTGAAGGTTTGGTATGTCTGCAAAAATAGCATACATTTCTCATATCTAAAAGAGGAACCATTTGAAAAAATAGAAGAACACACAACTGTATAGTGTGCAATGAGAAATCTGCAGTTTATCACTTTTTACTTTCTTTCTTTTCCTTATCCTTTTCTTGACTGGTTTTATAAAAGTAAATTTTTTTGGACTGCAAGGCCTGCAAGGGTCATAACAATATATGCTGCAAATTTGAGGGGTTTCTTGTACAATGTGTTGAACCAACGGGATCATCAGGCTTGTTGAGCAAAGGGGTTTTACAAACTAAAGTTCCCTTCTGCTATCTAACTGCAGTGCAAATTCTGGAGAGCAATTCCTGGCTTTCAAGATCACTTTTCTGATGATGCTTGGTTTAGTTCTCTAATAAATATGGTTGTGAATTAGTCATATGAGCTTTTCCTTGGCTGTTTTATCCTACTTCCCCATGAGTGGTACGCTTTGCTATCACGGATGATGCTGATTGTCTCATTGGTCTTAACAGCATGACTGAAGGTAGAAAATACTTTGCCTTCTTATGCAGAAGAGCTGAGTATTGGGTATGTGACTGTACCAAGCCGGTAGTGAAGTTATCCTTCATGAAAGGACAGACAAGTGCCAGCAGGTATTTGTCAGCTTTTTATGCTTGCATGGGACATCCTGCCTCCTTCTGTTTCCCATAAAGTGCAGGCAGTAAATCATTCCCTGTCAAGGGGGAAACGGGAGGCCCATTGCACAGTCGGGAAATCCATTTAAATTAACAGCCATGTTTCAAAGCCCTCCTCCAATGTCATCTGTTCGCGCTTCCTCTGAAGTGCTTTATTAAAGAAAAGAGTGAGAGTGACTGAGATAATATAAGCCACATTGTCAGTCTTATCTTAATAATGGAGGTTAAGTATGTTCCTACGAATGACCTTTGGCCCCTTTAAATGTCTGGATGCATCACTTATACATGTATGTTATAATAAGCAAGCTATTTTGCAGGATTAAATTTTGTTCATCTTTAGAACATCTTATTTTAGGTGCCAGTTGTTTGAAATTGTACATAAGGGCAGTTTGTTCTTTACTTTATCTGAGGTACGTCTGTCTCAAACTGCATGGTTTTATATCACCCCTGTTACCATCATTTGCACACATGATGGTAGGTTGAGGAGGCATGTCCACTGAATTATCCAACAGCAATTTTATGAAACCTTTAAAATATTGTAAGTGACTCAATAAATAGCATGTTATGTAACTGGTAGGAAAAGCCTGACTTATTATTTATACCTATATTAAAGGGATATTGCAGATTTTATATACCTGTTTCAGCATTTAGCATTTGTAAAATCTACTATGGAGGCAACACTGCTAATTCAGGAAAAGGAGAAATGGTCCACATTCTTGGCAGAATAGTTTCTTTTAAGTAATAAAAAAAAAGGTTTGAAATAAATTTAGGAAAGAAATGTTTAGTGTTGTCCAAAGAACAGATGAATTTATAAAGGTCCAGCCCTCCAGCAGAGTTCTGTTTAATTCACACTGCCTTTTACGTTCAGCAGACATCTTCCTTCAGCTTTTTAAATGCCTTTAGAAATAAATCCTTTTGGCATGGCAGCTGCAGAAGACAAAGTCTTCCGTTTTACCCATTTTAGACAGCAACACCCATCCATTCACTGCAAAATGTGACAGTGGAATAGAGATTGCTTTAACCTTTCCTTATGGAAAGAGATCAATAAAATGATGCTGTTTCAAGAGACGTGTTTATATCTTGTGTACTCACAGCTCTGAATAGAGCAGTTCTTGTCTCAGTGTACCTGAGGCTATTGGAAAACAAGCTGCTGTGTACCACAATAATATGTGAATTCAATTAAGTCTTCACTATGGCAAACATGTATTTTGCTGCTGGATTTGTCCTGAGCGTCTTTGCTTGCAATCTATTTTGTAAAACAAAAGTCAGTTCCGAGTAAGATCATATCAGAGCTCTTCTCTCACTGGTAACTCCATCCACATAAATTTTCCTAGGGAATTTATGAGAAAAAACCATCAGATTGGATCCTTGCTTTTCAAAGGCCCTTCTTCTGTTCTCATCTTTAGCTACTGCAAAGGAAGAAAACTTGTTTTGACAACGCCTTCATGTGCCTGCATGTGTTTGGATTCCCAGTTGACCAGGTCTTTGGAGCTGTCTGCACCTTTTCTTTACAAGGATGGCTCCAAGATAATATGAAATCACTAAGGGTTCATTTGCTAGAATGCAAATGAGGAGGTAATAATTTACTGCAAGGAAAGCTGGGTGAGAGGTTTAAATTCTTTGCCCTTTCAGAGTGAGCTTCTTTGATCCAGTTTTACTGCTGTCCCAAACTCTGTATTCCTAAATTGTGACAGATTCCATACATTCCCCTGGGCAAACATCTCCCTTCTGTCATTTCTAAAGCTTGACTGTGAGCCTACTCCCATCTCTCCCTCCCAGGGAGGGTCTCCCAGGCAGCAGTCCTGTGTTGACTTAAGTCAATCCAAGTCAGTGCAGCTACATTCCCATCCCCTCCTTCGCTGGGGCACATACACTCACAACCTCACAGCTGGGGGAGCTGAGCTGCCCAAAACCAACTTCTCACTCATTAGGCTTTGGCTACTCCTGGTCCTTGACTTAACTTCCAGAGGGACCAGAGGACCATGAGGACCAGCATGTGAGGGCTGGTGACCACAGCTCTTCTCTTCCACAGCATGGCAGGATCTCACTCTGTTTTTCAGGAGGCCTTGCTTGACCCAGAATGCAGCAGTCAGGATGAAGCAAACAGCCACTTCTTCTTCCCTGCTGCCTCACCAAACATTTTTAAATCACAACTAGAATAGTAAGCTGTCAACAAAGAAACAAGGAAACTGATAACATCTGTTAAAGATAAGCATGGTACTCAGTGCATGCATGGGCACACACAAAGAATAATAAGCATCTAGCTGAGAAGGGAGCAGACGGGCCATGATGTTCCCAGGTGGACGCCTTGACGTGCTTGCGATAGTTTGCTCAGATCATTTCAGCCTCGCCTTGCCTGAACCCAGGCTGTATGTTCTGCCTTATGCAAGAATGTGGAGGGGGCCAAACTGTAGGGTCAACATCAAGTGTTTCCTCTAGGAGCTACAGCAGTTCCCCTTATACAGTCTGTCACATATGCTCAGGCTTTTTGAGATGAAAGGTTGGTCTGTTACTGGTATATGCCAAGATCCAAAACGATATTCCCAAATGGCAAAGTTTGGCCTATTCCCATAAACTCGGTATGGCAGAGCTGATACCAGGACACCCAGTGTGAGACAACCAGGAAACCAGAAAGGAGCTTTCTACAAAGGCTTCAACCTTTTTACACAGGAGAATGACAGTATTTTGCTTTACATAGCAAAATTGTTGATTTAAAAGTGATGCTGAATACAAAACTGCTCAGTAAAGGCCGTGCAAGGTTTTAGAATTAAGAGCCTGCCCTGAAGACGTGTGGAGATTTCTGACATTGCATAAGGACCATGAGCTCTGTATATTTTCTGCTCCATTAAACCTCTGCTTTATTTAGTTCCTCTGATTTGAATTATCTCTAGGTTTTAAAACAACACTCATGCACACACTTCTTGTGTGTGGTTCAGGATTTATTAAACAGGATTTATTCTTGTTTTAATTAGGAAGTATGCTGAATGTAACCTCAGCATTATTCTCAAAATCTGTATATTTTCATTTGCCATGTCTTTATATTCATCAGGAAAGAGAGAGTCTGAGAGGTTACTAGTGATAAGAAATAGGTTTTGAAGAGAAAACATGTGCCAGACTGGAAGCTTTGTGTGAGGCTGAGTAGTAAATACTAGACATGGAAGAAAAAAGGAGAACAGTAATGGGAAAAGCCAACAAAGCAGAAAGAAATGGGATTGTATGGGGACTAGATTATATAAAAATTTTCTAGAAGGAGGAAGTCTGGGTTATGTGAGGCTGTCATAAAATGATCTCACCTTGGGTGAAATAATCTATAGTATGTGGCACGTTTGCTGCTTCACAGAGGGAAGTGTCACCTTTAAAAGTGTTGTTCCAGCTGCTATAGCTTTCTTTTGATATATTTTTAAGCGAATTAGTGATGTGGAAACAAAAAGAGCTTTGTCTATAAAGAATGCCATTTCTCCACTCTCTAGGACCTGACATACCAAATAAAGTGGCTTTTATTAGGGAAGAAAAGACAGAAAAACTTTGAGGAATAGACCTGCCTTTTACGAAATGATTATATGGGAATTAGGGATGGTGAACTCAGCAGGGATCTGTAACAGTACATGAAAAAAAGAAAACAGAAAGGCAAAATATTGCATAAGGGCTCCCTGTCAACTAAATGCAGGTCTGTGCCATCTAGTCAGGGGGAAATACAGGCACGTTCATGCTGAGGAATTGCAAGCTAAGGTCTCTCTGGGCTCAGGATCTGTACACTGTGCTCTTTTGGTTGGTGTAGAGAGCTCTTAAATCCATTTTTGTCCTGCTCATGAATTCTCCCTGGAGTGACTGCCACATCCACAACACAAAGGGCAGGTCAGGACCTTGCTGTAACTCAACTTGTCTTGGTTTTCATGTAACAACAATTAAGCTCTCACATAAAACAGAGACATTCCCAATATTGCATTATTTGTTCAACGATTTTTGAACTATTACAGTTCTATATGTCATTTTTGCAGCATCTTTCACAGGAGAATCATGTGCACACCATCTCCTTGGAAAACATACAGAGTCTCTTGGAATGCACTTCTCTACTTACTGTCAGCAATGGCTTTGATCTGTTATGCACAAAAATAAGAAGTGCTGATTTTCAAAAAAGGCAGCTTGTAATACCTTTTTTTTAAGAGCAGAATGAGGTCACAAAAAAGGTTCATCAAACATGGGAGCTACTGTCAAACAATGTGCTTCTTGTTTGTCAGACTCAAGAGGATGAAAATTACTGCTTTAAAAAAAATACATGGACAATGTGAGAGGGCAAGGTCTCGATCTTACACATCACTGCTCTGCAGTTGGTGGGATGATGTGAAAACAGACCATGGAAATAAATAACTTTTCTTTAATTTCATTATTTAGAAATTCTTTCCCATGTTTTCATGTCAGTGAGAAATTGCAATAAGTTTTCTTAAGCAGCTCATAAAGAGAAGCAGAGAACAGTATATGGGTTTTCTTGCTGAAAGCAAATTGCCTTTGATCTGTCTTATATCACTGTGGCCCAAGTGCCATTTGTGACTAACAGATGACTGATGACGTTTCTTTCTTGTAGTACGATATTGTTGGACATTCAGGAGACGGCTTCAACATCGCATTGGTTGGGAGTGACAAAGTTCCCAAGAACAATAAGCAAAGATTAGAGATTCTTAAGGTAAATCCTACTGATAAGTGATGCTGGATAATTAAGGAGTTTGTGACTGCAAAGATAAAATTGTGGGTGGGTCACAGAACACAAAACATGAGGAGAGTAAAATAAAAGAAAGACAAGAAAGCAAAATCTGTGTATTTGCATAAAATCGAAACAGGACCTTTCAGAGACATGGCAGAAAACAAATAATGCCAAAATAGTAGATGCTGGGTACACCTTTTTCTGGACTGCTGTGGTCATAAATGTGTTATTTTGACTATCTGTCAAAGGATAGGGGAAGTTCCAAGCATTTTATAGTGATATAGGTAGCTCTGCCTAAACGATGTGGTGATATTATTAGTGCATAAGTGACTAATTTGAACTGTAGAGAGGTCCCAGGTCAGCAATTTAGCCTGGCACCTTCTAGAAGTTATGTATCACAGTAGCAGTGGAAAAATGTGTCAATGCTAGATTGAAAACATGTTAAATCACAATCACGAAGTGAGTGTACTCACCAAAATTTTACTGTACTAGGATGAAGAAAAATTGAGTATATTGTAGGATTTACCTGTTTGGCAGCTTGATAGGTTAGAACTGTGTATTTGAGTTTCCTTCAAAAATTATTTTAAAAAGATTGGGAGCTACTTCAGTTAAAAGGACTGGATTTAGTAATGTCTAATATTCCTTCTGCATGGGAAACAGCTTCATCAATGAAAACAGTGTATTTATTTCATAACAGCTCAAACAATGTTTCATAACTTTTCAATCTGACTGCTACTGTTATAAGTCAGATATTTTATAATAACTGTGACACTACTAGGATTTGGAAGTCTAGTGCAAATTACGAACAGACAGGAGCTGGTCATGGTATTAGGAAACTAAGTCCTGAATTCTTCCTTAAATACATAGGAATGTAGCTACTCAAACTGCAGCTGACTGAAGTATTTTACCTTCCCTAAGGCCCAGTCTAATTAGGTCCATGTGTGGGTTTTGATTGTTTGACCCACTGTGTTTTTAGGAAGTGCTGCCTGTCTTAAGATATGATATATTATATACAAAAAGCTGCATCTTCTGTTGTACCTGGAGTACTGCCCACATTTCTGATGCATCCCCTAATACAGCAGAACTGAGTATTTACTCCCTCCTGTGCTAGCTGAAATGAATGTTTATTCCTAAAGTCATCTTACGTATTTCCATGTGGTTATGCTGTGCACACAGACTATGCACGCCCATGCTCAGTTCTGCATGAGTGGAGACCACACCTTGGAAGGGACAGAGCATGCCATTCGTGAAATTGCCAAGGAAGAGGCTGATGAGTATTTCGTTATCGTCTTAAGTGATGCAAATCTTGAACGGTACGGCATTCAGCCTTCAAGGTTTGCCCAGGTCTTGACCACCAATACTCAAGTCAATGCTTTCGCCATATTTATAGGATCCTTGGGAGACCAGGCAGACAGGTGAGTACATTTGTTTTATGCCTAATAACATTTGCTTTCGTATGTCATAAATCTAAACTATGATTTTATTGCAGTGTAGTTTGGCATAGTTGGCCCTGCTAACCTGCACTAAGGTTTTGATTGTGGTATTGTAAAATCATAGAATGGTTTGGATTGGAAGGGACCTTTAAATATCATCTATTCCAATCCTCCTGCCATGAACAGGTATGTCTTTTACTAGATCACATTGCTCAAAGCCCCATCCAACTTAACTTTGACCACTTCCAGAGACAGGGCATCCACAGCTTCTCTGGGTAACCTGTGCCAGTGCATCATCACTCTCATTGTAAAAATCTCTTCCATATCTCCAATCTAAATCTACCCTCTTCCAGTTTAAAACTGCTAAACCTTATCCTATCATTACAGGCCCTGGTGAAAAGTCTCACTCCATCCTTATGAGCCCCCTGTTTTTATTGAAAGGCCTCAATAAGGTCTTCCTGGACTTTTTTCCTCTCCAGGCTCAACAGCCCCAGTTCTCTCATCCTGTCTTCATAGGAGAGGTGTTCTACTCCTCTGACCATTTTTGTGGTCCTCCTCTGGACCCTCTCCAACAGGTCCATATCTTTCCTGTGCTGAGGACCCCAGCACAGCACTCCAGGTGGGATCTCACAAGAGTGGAGTAGAGGGGCAGAATCACCTCCCTTGACCTGCTGGTCATGCTTCTTTTGATGGAAGAAATCCAGGTTATAATTGGATGTCTGGCCTGCAAGGGCACATTGCCAGGTCACGTCCAAGTTTTCATCCTTTTTTAAAATTATTATTATTAATAATATTTTGATATTATTAATAATAATTATTATTATAATAAATATAATAATCTGCTAGCAAGAAGTTAGTAGATAGCTTCTGACTTGTGTCAGGAAGGAGACTGGCTTTGTGGGACCCACAGACATCCCTTATGGCCAGCTAGTTGAGAGCATTCTGTGCATCCAAAGGAGGCAACTGAAGCCATCCTACCACTGGAGGATGTGCACTATCCCTGTATGTAATATCACTATGTAATCATAACGGAGACAGGATGCCTTTGTCATTGCCCAGTGTGTGGTTCCAGTGCATGTAGGCCTACAAAAAGGCAATAAAACAAAAGAAGCTGGAGTTTAATGGTCTGGGTTTAGTTCTACTACATAATTTCACTTTAAATTGTTTGGGCACAAGGGAGAAAAAGGAAATTATGTCCCAGGTGTCCTTCCAGGCTCCACATCCACTGAGGACAAGTACATGCAGCAAAAGTCTGATATAGCCACATATATCAAGTGTCTTTTCTGCTTCTGAGTCTTCAACTAGAGCAGAATGAGAGAAATCCCAAAGGGAATTGGCCCTCAGTACATAATTTTAATCAGTAAAGGGTTGAAAGATACAGCTGCAGAGCCACCATTGTGGCTGCATGTCTGTACATCAGAGCTGCATTATGCGTCAAAAGAGAATCTGTTCTGAAAGATTATAATTACAGAAAGTCCTTTTACTTTTGCTAGGAATTAAAAGAAAAAAAAAGGCATTGACCATGTCCTGCTGTGTAAGAGATCTTATAATGGCCTAGTTCAGTGGGTATGGAAAATGCACACAATGCTGTCACTGAAATGCATTTCTATGTACGTGGAAGTCCAGAATTAGACAAAGCCTTCCTGTAACTGCTGTGGGGGAAGGAGAAGGAAATTCTCTGTTGCTGCTTTTTTAACTACTAATTTTAAAAGTGAGACTTTGCTTAGTATTGGAGGAATGGTGTGGAGCATAAATTCCTTTAAAAAGCAGTGAAAAATAAATCCCAAGCTTGCTAACTGTATGCAAGGGAGATGGAGTTTGTAACGTGCATCTAGCTTAACTTTTTTAAGGGAGGTTAAGCTGTGAATAAAAATGTGTTGGATTAATATTGAGAGAAAAATACATTTCCATCTAATCTGCTGCAATCTCAGAGAAGAAATATAAAGAGCACATTTAGAATCACTGGAGCTGTTGAACTGAAAGAGCTGTGGGTTCATGGTAGTCGATTTAAAGTGTCTTCATTTCCAGTGTATATCTCTAGCTGCCACCAGCAAGCCAGTTTGGTGACACCTCGTGGGATCACTGATGCCTTGATCAAAATGGAGTTTTGGCATGTCAGAAAGAGGACCTGGATAGAAATCTCTGGAAACATTTTTGTTTGTCTAGCTGAAAGGATCTCTGTGCCTTAGCTGCTCTTACTGTTTCCTCCCACTGCTGCTTTCCCAAACCTTTAATTGCATTATGACAGCGATGTGAATGGCGTGGATTGGGAAGGTATGCAAAAGGAAAACATCCATTCTGAAGGAACCCTGGCTTGTGGTAGGGAAGATAATTTGAGATGGTAATTGTGTCTTGTCTCTCGTTCTGCTCCTTAGGCTGCAGAGGACACTACCAGCAGGTCGGTCTTTTATTGCCATGGATACCAAAGAGATCCCCCAGATTTTGCAGCAGATCTTCACATCTACCATGTTATCAAGTGCCTAAGCATCACTGATGTCACGGTGTGTGAATTTAAAGAAGAAACCCACTCCTGCTGCAGATATAAACCCTAAAGCTGAGGATAAACACATTTCTTAATAAAATACATACTGTTCTCTAATCAGCAAAGCAACCCAAATCTACACGACAGCCAGGCTGTAAATTTTCACCCAAAATCTCTCAACTGACTTAGCATGTTTAAAGAAATGCAGCGGGGCAGAGGATGGCAACAGAACAAATGTTTTTCCGGAGGGACAAACAAATAAAGGACAGTTTGTGATCATTCCTCTGCATGCCATGTTGCCAGCATTACAGTGTCATCTCACCCTATCTTATTAAATACGGTTCACTGGGATTTGGTAATATTGTGCAAGGCAGAGCCAGGCAATCTGTTTCAGTGTTTTGCGCGCATATGTTTGAATGGGTGGTTAACTTCATCTCCCATTTAAACAGGACTGCTCTTGTCAGGCAGGAAACCCTTCCTTCCTCTGCTGTTGCTTTCTTGTCTTGAGGGGCATCGGGGCTTTACCCCGATGCTGAGAACAATGGAGCAGTTTGGAAACAATGACCATCACATGTAAACATTCATTATCTGATCAGGCAAAGTTGTCAGATCTAGAGAAAGTGCCTTTTAAGAAGGAAAACAAAACAAAAATAGATTTGTTCAGTTCTGCCTGTGAAAAGTAAGGGGAAAGGGTCTTAAGAACACAATAACCAGTGTTTCCAAGGAGGGAGCTACTGCAGTGGCTCCTTTGCATGGCTGATTATGCTGTCCCATTGCACTGTTGTACAGAATCCCTGGGATGGCCTCAGCACATGGGGTTGACTTTTATGTCTGGAGACAAAAAAGTTACTAATGCTTTGCAAAAAGCTCATTCACGGTCTGTTTTTCTTGGGTCTTTTAAAAATGAAACTGGAAGAGAGATTTAGGCATGAGAAAATAAGTTATTTTTTTATAAAGGAAGAGGCAAACATCTATTGTAGCAAGATATGTCTGTGTTAGAGTATATTTAACATCCAAGTTAGTTACAAAACTTACTTTGCAACTCAGTCGGTTGGCCCCATGAGATGGTAATTACTCTTTATCTATGAAAAAAGAGATATTTTGTAGTTCTTTGGGAACAATGGAATACTTGATGAATTGAATGTATGATTTAATTAAGCTGATACTTTGCTGATACTTTGCTGATATTAATGTAAGAGTAGCTGAATAGGAGAAAATTCAGGAAGAGTACTTATCAAAATCTAAAGGAGGAATTGCAATTCTTCTAATATTTCTCTTAATCCTACAGTTGCTCAAACTGCACCATGAGCAGCATGTTTGGAGGGGAGGAGGCAAATTAATTTGATCTTGTTAAATACAGCCATTGGTGTTTTAAAGGGTCATTCTCTACTCCACCAGTCCTGCAGCAAAAATCTTTACCAGAGCATCAAAAATGTGCTCTATTTAGGATGTGTTATAAAGTCTGATCAGCTTTGAAACTCTTTATGATGAGAGGATGGAAGACATTTTTCAAAGGCTTGTTAGTATTGTTATAATAGCTATATATGTGAAAACAAAGAGGCTGAAGATGCAATTCCTGTTTGGAGAGAAGGGAACTGGGAGGAGACAGTTGAGAAGGTTATCCCTGTTTGGGACAAGTGCATGTATGCACACATACACACAGATGCTACTGCTAAGGGGAAGTGCACTTCAAAATAGAAATACCTTGGTCCCATAAACTTATGCTGAGGTACTAAATGCAATAAAGAATTGGCATATTAATAAGGCTGTTAGTTAATGTGCTTTGACATGGAAATTCCTTCAGCACTTCTGCTTTTATTGCCAGCAGTCCTGAAAAAAAGAAGGATTTTATTACAGTTAATTAGCAAGCTCACTGTATGCTTTCTAGATGACTTGAGTGGATAAACTTTCTCATCTCAGATTTACATGCAGTAAAGTACATGCAGTTATCTTTATAATAAAAAAATTAGTGCTATTTAAGGGAAACTCTGCAGTAAATCCAATTTTGAACCTTTCGTTTGATTATCCCTATAAATTATATTTCATGGCATGCTATTTAAAATTACCCTTCTGTAGTGTTTGGTTTTATTCTTTGTTTCGGAATATGTCTGTTGTCTTTCAGTTCATGTTTTATGGGCCCATAGAATATGGCCACATCCAGGGCCAGGCCTGGCCATGAGAGTGGGTGGAAGAGGGAGGAAGCAGTTCTAAACCTGCCCTCTTTTAGTTGATAGCCATTCCCCCTTGTCCTTTCACTACATGCCCTTGTCAAAAGTCCCTCTCCAGCTCTCTCGTAGCCCCCTTTAGGCACTGGAAGGCTGCTATAATGTCTGCCCGGAGCCTTCTCTTCTCCAGGCTAAACAACCCCAGCTCTCTCAGCCTCTCTTCATAGGAGAGGTGCTCCAGCCATCTGAGCATCTTTGTGTCCCTCCTCTGGACTCACTCCCACAGGTCCATGTCCTTACCATGCTGAGTCCCCAGAGCTGGGTGCAGTACTGCAGGTGGGATATGATGCGAGTGGAGTAGAGGGGAAGTGTTACTGGTAGATTCTGAGAGAAAGAGAGAAGAAGCAAGTGAACTCTTTTTTAAATTTTCAGTTCAGAAGGAAAGGTTTTGGGATTTGCCTTTAACAACGCTTCATTGCATAGCATATTTGACCTGACAGTGTCTCTCTAAATTGTAAAAATTCAGAGCAAAATTTTCCCCCGGCCATGCAACTCTCACCTACTTTGTTGCCCATTGCTACCCCAGGGAAATCAAAGCAGCAGCTGTGCTTTTCCATGTCTCACAAGGACTTGCAGTGTTATTTTCATGCTCAGAAATTCAACAAACATTCTTCTTTTACATCTCTGGGATTTGCAGAGCTGCCTAATATGCATTTATTTTTAATTGATGAAATGCTTAAGAGTAACATGGCTTTGTCTAGCTAACAGCAGCAGCAGTGACTGCTCTCATTGCAATGCATGCACCAGCACTGCGTGTCACTCATTCCCTCTTAAACTGTCACTCACGCCCTCTGAAAGTGTGTTAAGGTATTTTTCATCTCTTCCCACGGTTTATTAAGGCACTTCTGCACTTATCAGTTTTTTTTATGGAAAGGCAGTGTTTTGGTGAATGAATAGAGCTGCTGGTTGGAGCAGGTCCTGACCTATTGCTAATGCTTTAATAACATTAACCACATCAGCAGTAGTGATTTTAATTACCTCTTATAATGCAGATTTTGATCTAATTCTGTTTCTATATGTAATGTGTTCATACCCACTAGCCAGTTAGTAACAGTACACAGTCATCTGGGATTATTATTTACCTGAGGTACAAAAAAACCCCAAAAAACCACCAGAAAAAACAGGAAGCCCAAGCAGATGTGACTTTAGTCAGAGCAAAGCATGTTCCACATTTACAGACTTAAACAGCTTCATGTGACTGTATAAAAGCAATAGGTTTTATCTTGCACATGAAGTGCAAGGAGGGTTAGGAGGGATGCCTAGACTTTTACACCAGCAGTCCATTTCCTTTTTTCACTTCTTTCCTTTACCAACATTAGGTGTCAAGTGTGATTGTGAATGTCGTGCTAGAGCTTGTCCTGATAGATAAGGATAGATAGATAACGTGCTAGAGTTAGCCTGATAAAATTAAGACTAATCTAATGGCTGATCAAGTATACTGATGTAATATTTGAGTAAACACACATAGGGCAGAAGATACAGGTTCTGTATTATATGTGCAAAATCAAACCAAGAGAAGGACCTGATGCCTCGTTGAGAGTATGGCTAAGAGATGCAAGGATACCAGAAGTCTTCTTATCTGTACAGTTAAAATATGTCTTAAAAATTACTACAAAACAAGTATTAAAATAATTTTTACAGTTTAAAACCCAAGCTATTGTGCTATGTTGGCTATTGCACATTATTATGTTTATTAATAGCATGCCTCTAAAAATGAGAATGTACAAGATATTTACTGAGAAATAAAATATGTCTTAACCATGTATCAAATCCAGAAAGCCGCTTTGAAAATATAATCATTGTACTCAACCTCTAAATTTGAAAAGGTTCAGGGTTTAGTTAATACTTTAAGTACTACTGTTTTAGTGATAATAAGTAAAGCTCTTCAGTTTGTGTGCTGTAAAAGTAATGGAAGTTGTTATTCAGTTCCTTAATAATTCTGCTTCTGGGGCAAACATGTCTGTTTTGACCCCATCCTTAAAAAAATACAAAAGAAACCCAAACCAACTTGTATTTTACCATTTTCTATTCTTTCTGCCAGCATGTGGGAGAGAGAGCAAACACTCTCCTGTCCTTACTGAGAGCCTTTTAGAAAAAGAAGGTCAGTGTTTCTCCCTCTCCCTGTGTATGCTGTGTAGTAGCAGCACTCAACACATGGAAACATCTTACACAGTTCATTATGTTAGAAGACATTTTATCCAATGTAACAGGTATCCAGCTGTACCCCAACATCACATGAGGTAAGTTGCGGTCCTCGATTGGTGCTCTGGGTGTTTTAGTTATTGAGTGATAGATATCGATACCTAAAGCAATTGAGCGTTTTGAAATAGTACAGTGAAGTCAAGACCCTTCTGTGTCTGTTGAATTAAAATGCCTCCCACACCCTATGGCACTGTGCTATGAGGGATATTTTTCCAAGACAATTCATGGTGTAGGTGTTTGATGTGACCATGCTCTGCTGAAAATGCAGGTGATCGCTCACTCAAGAATGTGTGATTGTTTACAACAATTTGTAGCAAACAGATTCCCCTAGAAAAAAATACACTTGCAAGGCAAACCATTCAGCTGAAGGACTTCATCATCTTGGAGACAGGTTTTGTACCATCAAACTAAACAGGTAAAAAATTGCCTAACTCAGAAGTACTTTTGTTGTTGAAATTGTGACAATGTTAACAGTATCGTTACTGAATAAAATGTTTTAAAGTCAACTATGTTTTCCGTGAAATAAGTGTATGTGGGAAGATTGCAGAAGAGATTCAACATTCTTCAGGATGAAGGTGATGGTAGGGTTTTTTCGAAGACAAGGGCAGAATTATAAAATTGGAATAACTTCATTTTCATGACCATCTGTTCTCCAACTTTTGACAGGATAAATAAGCATATGAAAATCTA